TCATCGCACCACCACTCACTCAAAATAAACTCCTTTACCCCATACTCAAACTCCTTCCCAGCCGCCCGGTGCGCCTCCCTAGCGCTCACCATCCTCCCATACCTCGCCCTACTCGCGCTCTCGAAGCTCGTCTCCTTCGCGTCCCCATAGCTCCCAATGACCTCGCGCCACACCGCCGCGTCAAAAGTGTTGTTGTCGCCCAGCGCGGCGTCGCTGCGCGTCAGACTCACGTCGTGCTCGACCAGGCCGTGCTTGGCCAGGTGGTCGAGGTCGAAGGTGTCAGCGCCCGGCTCGGGCGCCGCCTTCAGCGCGCCGGCGGCGAAGAGGGCGGCAATCCCCGACCCGAGGTTGAGGATCTGCGTGAGGACGCTGACGATCTGGGGTTTGCTGATGCCGCGCCCGGAGTGTGGGAGGATGTGGTGGTTCGCGAGGGCGTTTAGCATGGGGCAGGGGGAGCGGACTGGTGGATGGGGTTAGTTAGTTTTTTGTTCGGTAGGTAAGTTGGATGCAGTCAGAGAGAGAGAGAGAGAGTAGAGTCAGCTTTCGGATTTTTTCCCCTTCTCGATTGGGAATTGGGAGGGAGGGAGGACTGAGATCTGAGGTATTTTTATATGTATGTATATATGTAGGTATGTGTATATATATGTATGAGGGGTTGGAGGGTCACTTGACGGAGCGAGGTTCACAATCAAACATACCGTCCCCTTCCCCAGCTGCTTCCCAAACCGACCAGTCAACCTCTGGATGGCCATCAGGAACTGGAACCTCCTCCGCTGCCATGGTGAGGAGGCCTGTCTGTCTGTCTGTCTGTTAGTCTTGCCGTCTGCGTAGTACAATCTTCGAAAATCCTCGAAAACCCTTGAAAATGTAAAAAAAAAAAAATCAATCTTATATGTTTCTTTCTTTCTGTAGATTTAATGGCTTTGTTGGTTACCTATATATGAATGAACGAATAAATGAATAACTGAGCGAGACACGATCTTTTCTATCTTCCGCATCTGTCGGATTCGTCTTTCCGGTGGGGGTTTTATCCTCCTTATCCTACCTAGGTACTTATCTCTGTTCCTAATATAGATACAAACAGAGGGGGAGGTCACCTCCATACAGAGAGGTTATCCTGCGACTCCGCTTTTTTTTTTCCCCCTCTCTCGGATGTTTCAGGGTTTACGGTAGCGAGAATGCGGTAGCGAGAGTACGGTAGCGAGAGAGGGTACGGAGAGAGGAAGAAAGTTTAACTCTACTTGAATCTGGTGTAATCAGATTAATTAATCGGCTGATAGGTAGGCTAGGTATGTCCCAGGAAGGTAGACTTACCTACGTACTACGTAGGTACGTTGAGCTTTACCTATTCCCGATGGCTTACTGGGTGAGATATCTAGGTCAGGTCAGGTCAGGTCAGGTCAGGTCAGGTCAGGTCAGGTCAGGACAGGTCAGGAGGTAGGTAGGGTAGGTAGGTTAAGAAAATGTACGGACTTCGTATGTATACAGATAAATATATATAAATAATAGTAATAGCTCCCCTCCGTGACAGCAGGTAAGAGGTTATTCACACGGTCGACGCACCGTTTTCAGACCGTCTCTTGTAAAGTAAAGATGGTCCTTGACTTTTTGAGACGGTCATTCGACCGACTAGTCGTTGTTCGTCAAGACATGAAATAAAAACAAGACTATACTTGATAAACAACAGTGTAAGTAATCCGAGCCGTACCTAGCTGAATCGAACGGAACCGAACTTCAGAAATTTCAGCAAAAGCTCAATCGAAAGCTCATATTCATCCATCCATCCATCCATCCATCCATCCATCCATCCATCCATCCACTCATTCATCCATCCACGAGTACCTATCCATCTCATAACAATACCAAAGTCCCACAGTCTACAAAATCAAATTGAATATATTTTTTTTTCACCCTTTTTTTTTTTTGGTTTGGTTAATTGATTGGATCGATTAATTAGTTGATTATATTATCAAAACCGGTGTTACTTGGAAGTGGCCAGAGGGGCTTTATATATATATATATACATATATGCTAACTAAACCACCATGCCTTTCCTCGCAGTGTTATTGGAAGTGGTGGGAGGGGAGGGGATTCATAGGGTTGATGTAAAAAAAAAACTTGTATGGGAAAGAAGGAAGAAATGAAGGGGTGAGTGAGTGAGTGGATTCCGGGATTGAAGTTTCGATACTGCTGGTTTCGAAATCTAGACTAGGTAGAAAGATAATATCTGCGAGAGTTGGTAATGAGGAATGAAATGAGAGACGCAGGATAAAGGGTGGGATCACTCCGTACGAGAGGTGATCATGATAGTGGTCCGTACATATGTATTTTCAGTTAAAGCTTGATGTGTGCAAGTCATCAGGAGTCCGCTCCTCTCCAGTTTCGCATATCCTCAAAATACCAACGCTTCGCCTCGCATCCCACGCTTAGCCTAGTATCTCGAATTGAAGTTATCCTCTTCTTCGCCATATCCGCGTCTTCCATCTCCACGCTCCTGGCTACGTCCGTAGCCACCTGAGCTCTCTTCATTATCGTCACGTCCGGAACGGCCGTAACCTGAGGATTCCTCTTCACGTCCACCACGACCGTAACCAGAAGATTCCTCGTTATCACGTCCACCACGACCGTAACCAGAAGACTCCTCGTTATCACGATCACCGCGACCGTAACCAGAAGACTCCTCGTTATCACGACCACCACGGCCGTAACCAGAAGACTCGTCATTATCACGATCACCGCGACCGTAACCAGAAGACTCCTCGTTATCACGTCTACCACGACCGTAACCAGAAGACTCGTCATTATCACGACCACCGCGTCCATAGCCCGAGCTCTCCTCGTCGTCACGACCTGAACGACCAGATTGTCCGTACGAGTTTCCACCACCGAAAGAATTCTCCTCGTTGTCACCGCGGCCCGAGCGGCCGGATTGGCCGTAAGTGTTTTCGCTTTCCTCGTTGCGTCCGGATCGGCCACCACCATAGGAGCTCTCATCGTTATCGCCGCGTCCCGAACGACCGCCTCCGTATGAGCTCTCCTCGTTCTCACCGCGTCCAGAGTATCCTGAACGTCCAGAATCACCATACGTGTTCTCCTCATTGCGTGCAGAACGACCTCCACCGTACGAATTGCCCTCGTCATCTTCACGTCCCGAGCGGCCAGATTGACCATAGGTGTTCTCACTCTCCTGATTTCTACCTCCACCGTACGAGCTCTGCTCATTATATTCACGTCCTGAACGTCCTGATTGGCCATAGGTATTCTCGCTAGTTTCTTGGCGGCGGTCACTTCCATAGGTGTTCGAGTTTTCCTCGTCATCGTTGCGACCTTGACGGCCAGATCCGTAGGTGTTCTCGCTGCGTCCGAAGGAGCTTTCCTCATTGTCGTCGCGGCGCGACGACTGTTGATTGCGACCATACGAGCTCGTCTCGTTGTCCTGGCGACTATATGAAGATTGTTCGTTATCGTCTCGGCCTGAAGAGTGCTGAGTACGGCCATAAGAACTCTCCTCGTTATCCTGGCGACCATACGAGGATTTCGGCTCATTTTCGACCTCCACTCCAAGCTTCTTGTCCAGACCCGTCTTCTTCAGAAACATGCCACCAATTCCACTAGTGACTTCCTCCAGAACAGAGGCACCCTCCTGCGCAGAGGGCACAAACTCGTTCTCCTTTTTCTTTTTGGCAGGAGCACCATGAGAGTGCCCACCGCCCTGGGCATCCTCCCCCTCATGGTTCTTGTTGTCCTTGACACCTTGGGTGCTCAGGATTTCCTTGTAGTGCTGCTGCTCAGACTCATCCTTGCTTTCCCACCATTGCTTGACGGTCTCAAACATGGCCATCTGGCCCTCTCTGTTCTCTTCACGAAGGGCAGGGTGGTGGAACACCTGCAGGATATCATCGATGGTTTGGCGAACATCCTTGCCCTCATCGCTCCAAGAATCGACGATGTGGGGAACAACGAACTTGACAGTGGCACAAGCGATTTGTCCCGCAACCGTGTTCAGAACGTTGGAGAAATGGTCCTTGGAGAGCATAGAGTGAGTTGGGTCGGTGAAGTTGTCGTTCTCAAAGACCTCGTATTGACCCTTCTCGCTGGATTTCAGGACACCCTCCGATCCAGACTTGAGCTCAATACGGGCTTGGGCGATAATTGGGGTGACGTATGGAGCCAGGAGAGAGAATATGAAGATTTGCAGAGCACCTGACATGTTCTCAAGAAGATCATCCAGGCCAGGGACTTTGGAGATGACCTCGGTGACGCCCTTCATGACTTGATCGTGGAATTCGAGAATGGGGTACATATCCTTGAGCGTCTGCTGGGCCTGGCCCTTGGCTTGATCGATGTCGATACCTCCCAGCGAGGCGTTGCGGTCCAGTGGGTTCTGCTGTGTCTCCTGCTTCTTGGCAGCGGCAGCTTGCTTGAGCTCATCGGCCTTGTTTGTGTCGGGCTTTCCGTCTCCTTCAAGGAGGTCCCAAGGGACGTTATCCAGGATACCTTTGAGGACCGATGTCTGATCGTTTTTCTCATCGTCCTCGCTGGCCTTGTTGAGTTGGGACTCTAGACCCTCGATCTCGGATTGCGCCACCTTATCTCCCATCTCACCGACGACCGAGTGCAAGAAATCGGTCATACCGAAGGTTCCAGTGACAAGTGGGAAGATTCTTTTTCCTCGGACCTCGATTTCTGTATTTCTTCCAACATGAGGGAATGCATCCACACCAAGCTCACGGAGAGCAAGCTCTGTGTAGTTGGAGTGAGCAGCATAGTCTGTGGATTTACTGATTAGTCTCGCCCTGTTGAACACAATGGGGAGTACGGACCTTCCAGGCAGTGCAGACCGGTGCCCAAGAGCCGGAGTGCCTCGTAGAAATCATCCTTGTTGTGGTCACGGTTGTATTTGCGGCCAAGCTCGATGCTCCTCTCGAACAGGTCGCGGACGAGACCAGCAGATGTTTGGCAACCCGCATTCTCAGAAGCGATATACACTTTCAGCCCAGTTTCGGGGTCGATTGCAAGCTCTTTGCCCTCGTCGACTGGACCACGGAGGCGCTGGTCGTATTGGCGAGCATCCATATTGTCGGCGTAATCCTAGGTCTGAGTCAGCTCCGTGGAAGGCCCCAAACAACCATGAGGACAATGCGATTGGTCTGTTTACCTTTGGGTTGTCGATGTGCTCCTCCGGGCGGTAGCAGCCGAGTCGTTCGGCGGTGACCTCAAACTCACCGGTAGCGTAGCCAAAGGTGAGGAACGAAAGACACCAAAGCAAGATACGGATGGTTTCGGCAGGAAGCTGCTTCAGTCCACCGACATCGATGGCCTGAGAGTAATCGCGGAGCCAGTTCCCAAAGTACACACGCTTGACGTCGAGCTTGTCGAATTTCGTGTTACCGCCCGCGACTATCATCAGCTCCAGGAGGGTATTCTCGATGTCTCCATGGCGGTAGTTGATGGCATTGATCTGCGGCGTAATCATGTCAGTTGATTGCCGTGGGAGTGAGTATATATACATTTGTATATGATATGATAATATATATATGTGATGTGATGATATGAGGTGAGGAGGCTTACCTTTGCTAGATCGACGATATCTCCCGCGCCGAAAGCTGCTGCTGGCGTAGCCATGAAGAGTACAACCACGGCCACGCTCCAGGCGAGGAAGAGGGGCGCGTTCGTCGCCGCCATGATGGGCTGTAGAGTTGTAGAGCTGTAGAGTCTGTAGAGTTGTAGGGTGTAGAGATTTGAAGAGGTGTAGAGTCTGGGAGTGTCAGGTGAAGTTGGATGAGGAAGAAAGAGAGAAAATGAATTCGGTATACGGATGATGGCGGGGTCGTCGACTTACCTACCCCCTCCGACCCCCTCCCCTGTAACGGTGACGATGCCACGCCCATCTCCCGCGCCAAGACAAGCATCTTCAAAGATGGTTGGTCATCCTAATAACATGATACAAAGTATATCGCAGAACTCGAGAACTGGGACCAGCATCTCGCATCTCGCATCTCGCATCTTATATCTCACATCTCACATTCCACTACCTACTCCGCTCGGTCTGATCTGATCCGGAGAATATTAGAGTTGATATTGGTAGATACTCAAGTAGCCGTCTCCTCGACCCCCTTCTCGACCAAGCCAGCCCTCTCGTCGATCCCACCGAACGGGCAGGCTCCAGGCCGGGGAAGCGATACTACCTCCTCGCCGCCGCCGTCTACCGTGGCCAGAATCTTCTTCTTTCCGCGTACGTGGCCCTCCTTCATCTCAATCACAAACTCATCATCATCAAGAGCAAACTCAACACCGTGCCGAATATGCCACTTCGCAAACAGGTCGTTTTGAATCCAGATGATCTTTCCCAGGGCTCTGACGAGTGCGACCTTCTGGTCCGGAGAGAGCTTAGGATGAGAGAAAATGGCCTCGGTCATGATGTCTTGAATAAATCCGAGACAGGCGCCGAGATGAATGTACTCCACGTGAAGGGGATGAGCACGACCGAGACCAACATGCATCATGCTGTAGTTATCTGTAAGCTTCCGTATGTTAAGATGCAGAGGCAAGGGGAGATGGTTCGTTTATTTACCCGACTTTGTCCAGGTACTCCCAAAACTCCATTTGCGTCGGGTCAGAACACAGCTTGATCAAGTAGGCTCGGAGGAACATCTTTCGATGCACGATTTGCGGGCTGTCTTCGCTGAGCTTGGCATCCATGGGCCCTTCAAAACTCGTGTTTCTGGTCTGAAATGCGCGAGCTGTGATGTCGAACTGTAGGAGTTTCTTGTAGACGATATTGACGACGGTCGGAATCAGAGCCTTGATGTACTTGGCGCCTGAGACCAGTGCTTCGACATCGTCTGCAAGGCCAGGTTAGCAGTGGATGAGGTATGAGGCGGTGATGCTGGGCTCTTGCTTACTGCTGCTGAAGTCCAGGAAACTGTGAAGATACTGGATTCGTGCTTCGAGGCTTGTGTGTAGAGCGTCTCGAGAAATATGTTGCATAGGATGAGAGTTCGACATGCCGGTGCTTGTATTACGGGTTGAGAGAGAGGAAATAGTAGTACTTGTACAGGTGACAAGAGAGCAGATGTTGATGAAGACCAAGACCGATCATAGCCGTAAGTACTAATACCTCCCTCAGGCATCATCAAGTTCTGCACGGAAGTCTGGATATCATGAGATTTGTGGCGTGACTTGTGGTATTGCATATGCAATTGCGTTGTCCATCCCACGCCAGTCGTGCCCGCAGCACCCCTTGTGAGCCCATCTGCACGACATATTGCATGTTACCGAATTCTGCCTTAGGGATAAATCGGACGAAGGTTGGCAATGCGACTCGCGATATAGCGCAGGAGTGGAATAACCCGGAGGAGACGAGGCAGATTCCATTCTCTAGGAGAGGCCGCATCGAGCGTGTTTCTCGCCTGGATAACCAACCAGTAACGCATCCTGAATTACCTATCCCATCCATGCTCCCGGGATAGAGGTTATTAGGGCACGTGACGATAGCTCAAGTCTTGGCTCGATCGATGTCGATTGCTTAATTGTTCTTCGCTTGTGAAGAGAAAGCCCGAATCTAGAATCAAGTCGAGACGAAAGTAATCATAAGAGAATTTCGTGAAGTAGACAGGATGCTCATGCCAAAGTATTTACCAAATCCGGACTTCGGACGAGGCAAAACCCGAGGCCGAGGGCTCGGCTAAAGGTGTTGACATCATGACTTGGCTCATCCGTATGACAAGGCGGTTGCTGGCATATCAACCTCGCCATCCCAAACAAAACAAAGACTCTCAATTCCAGTCTCTCACCTACAAACACCACCAACACCACCGATCCCATCTCGAATAAACTCCCATACAGACAAAACGCTCGACATGGGCATCTCGCATTCTACCGCCCGCTGGGTCGCCCCCGCGTCCTTCCTCGTCGACTTTGCTGCGCAGCAGTACGGCATGCTGTCCTCCCCTAACATGAAAGATGTGCACGATGCCAACCTCTCGTTCTGGTCTCCGCAGCCATACTTCATTGCGGGGTTCTTCTTTCCGCAACAGTTGTTCCAGTTGGCGTGGTTGTATCGCTTGTGGAAGTTGGATCCGAAGAAGGGGGCCAAGGAGCAACAGGAGGTCAACCAGATGGTCGATTTCGTGCCATATTATGCTGTGGGGAATCTATGCATTGCTAGTAAGGCTCTCTCTCTCTCTCTCTCTCCTATCAAATCAATCCTTCCTTTTGGGGATGGACCAGACCAGCTAGGACGTCTCGTCGTAACGATATGGTCACGTGTTTTTTTTGCTTGGGAGGAATGGTGTGTTGACGGTGCATCCTTTTTCCAGCCTGGATGATCTTCTGGAACGCGTCGGCCCTTAAAACGGCCAACATATTCGTCGTCATCAACTCCTTGACTCAGCTCTACTACATCTTTGGGCACTTGCCACCCATGAACACGCGCTCTACCTCTTCGGTCCTCACGAACATCGTGTCCAAGACCTTCGCAGGCATCGGGGTCCTGGACCTGCTGCACAACGGATCTGTCGCCTATTTCAACCACGAGGGTCCCGGACTGGCCGTCAAGGTCGTCACGGGTTTGGGATTCGTTACGTTGGCCAGTGGAAGTGACTGGATCTTTGGGGGGTGCCTTGTGTATGATCTCATCGCCTTGGCGGTGGGCCAGCGGGGTATTGGGGAGACGGGATGGAGCAACTTGCTGGGTGTCTATGCCGTTGCGACGGCCGGGATCGTAGCGGCGAAGAACTTGGTCAGGTAGGTGAGAAAAACTCCGGCTTATGAGACGGTTGAGGTGTACTGATGTGTGATAGACCACCGTATGTTAGAGAAGAAACTCCTGCGTATATCGAGGCACCCACGGAGGAAGAGGACCGGTAGTTATAGTTGTAATAGCGTCGAACATTAAAGGACGTAAATGGTCAACAGGACAAGGGGAGATGGCGTACACGGTATTTCCTGCCCTAATTTTGTTCTTGTAAATAATTTGATGCTTTATTCATTGTAATACAATCATGGGTATAATAGGAGATTAACGCAGCGCTGTAAATAAAAAGTATTGCCCATTCCATATCTAACATCTCTCTTCATAATTTTATACAGCGTCCCCGATATCCATCCCCCTTGCTCACTACTAACTTGGTCTCCTTTTCCCTGTCCCACTCCATCCTACTTTGAAGCAAAAACCAGACAGATATTCTAATCCCAGGACGTAGGTACGTGAGCAGGTCGGGTCGTAATTAAGCGAGACGAGACGGGAACTCCTTTCCTCGCCAAGATATAGGTTGTCATCTCATTAATATATGTAAGTGTATGTAAAAATTTTTGGATTGAGATTGTTTTTTTTTTTTTTNTTTTTTTTTTG